CGGCCCCCCCTGAGGGAGATCCTGCGGCTTCAGCCCAGGACTCCTACACCACCTACCTTGACCACGACACTGGTTGGACATGGGTCTACGCTGCCACGGACGGTGCATGCACCAACCAAGCCATCCCATTGCTAGCACGAGCGGGCTACGGCGTCTACTACGGCATCGACCACCGCATGAACTACAGTGCACGCGTTCACGGCCTAACGCAGAACGCCCAGCTTGCGGAGACCCTCGCCATTGTCCACCTCACGGCATGTGCTGAACGGCCCGTGCACGTTTTCGTGGACAACCAGGCGGTGGTCGATGGGTTCCAAAGCATCATCGACGGACACTCAGCACCGCAGGGCACGCACGTGGAGCTCTGGGAAAAGATCCACCGATGCGTTATGGCCAAGCCCAACATGTTCCGCGTCGAGAAAATCGCTAGCCACCTGGGAGACATGGGCATCGACCTCGGGCTCATCGGGCCCATTGCGGAGGAGTTCAATCGTCAGGCTGACGCCCTCGCCACAACGGCGGCACGCACTCATAACCTTCCAGACGACATTGTCGAAGCTGCCAAAACACGACATCGCCAAGCGACCGTGCTTCATGGGGTCGCTGTCGCCATCTACGAGCGTAGACACCGCACACTCCCGCTCCCACACCGCAGGGCTGGGTTTACAGCTGCGGAACTCAACAAAATGGAACCAAACCCCCTGCTGTCGGACCAGGCACCACCCGCGGCTGGACCAGACATCCCACAGAACCCGGACGAGCTCTGGGCCGAGGCCCAACGGGCGATATTCGACGAACAGGAGGACGACCCGTTCGGCTTCGGCGGGGGACTTGACTTCCTAGGCGACGGGCCAGCCAGCGCCAACCTTGCCCCGTCGGGCATCCGCACGACGCCCTCGACTCCGCCACCGAGAGCGGCACCGCACCCACATGACGACGCCGCTCACCTCCAAGACGCTGACGAACAGGAGGACGACCCGTTCAGCTTCGGTGGGGGATTGGACGTCTTGGACGACGGCCCAGCCAGCGACAACCCTGCCCCGTCGGGCAACCTCTCGACGCCTACCGCGACTCCGTCTCCGAGAGCGACATCGCTCCCATATGAAGATATCGGTCACCGCCAAGACGCCGACGACGACCTGGGTGACCCCCGCGGACTGAGTGGCATAGACGAAGCACCGCCGACACCCCACGCTGCCGACCATGCCGCCCTATCGAGACGCCACCCTACTACGCGGCTGACCTCAGAGCCCTCGCACGGCATCATGATTGGTCCTACCGCGCAAACCACTCCGCCCCCCCACCAGCGGCAGCCCGCGGGGGCGGCTTCAGCCCCCCCGCAGGGCACCGAACCAGGCAGACCCTCGCACCCCGTCCACGTTTCCATCGTTGCTGAGCGAGAGGATGCGGCTCTCCCGACCTCTCGGGGCGTGGCCCTAGCGGCTCCAGCCCTGGGGCCGCGTGCTCCCCTCCAGTCACCTTTCAAGGGTGACGGACGACAGCATACAGGGTGCCGTACTACGCTAGTCCACCACCTGGTCAGGCGTACCGAGGACCTCGCCCCTGTCACGAGGCCCGCGGCCGCTGGCACTGAGCAGCCACCCCTCACCGACCGCGAAACCGAGCTGTCCCAGGCTATGGCCGCTCTCCAGCAGAGGTGTGCTGCTCTCGCCGCGGACCTCGCCGCCGCTCAAGCCCGCCAAGGCCCTCTACTCCAGCGCCTCCACAGCGCCGGGCGAGCCTTCGCCGAGCTGCTTACGCCCTCGCCCGATGGTGCCGTGCCGTCACTCACCATCCAAGCTATGCTGTCATCGTTCCGCGGCGCTCCACCTGGTGCCCCGCGCTAATCTCCTCCTTTCTGCCTGCCCGTGAGTACGCGTGGCTCCGCGTCCACGGTGTCAGGGCGTGGGGGCGGGGGGTGCCCCGTCACTGCGCGCCGCTTTGCGGCCAAGCGCCCAACTGGCGGTCTGCCAAGCCGCCTAGCCACGTGTCAGCACGTCGCCTTTCTTGTTGGGGCCTCTTTCTTCACGCGGTCTGACAGGTGAGATCATCACCGTCTGTCCGCCGTCTGTAGCGTCTGTCGCACTGCGCCGGGGGAGGGGTTTTTTGTTGCCCGCCCTCGTATCTAAAGGCTGCACCGCCGCAAATAGTGTTTTGCGAGTTGTCGCACCGCAGTGCGCCTCGCGGACGGACCCTGGTCCGCCTACTTGTCCGCTCTCTCCTCTCTCTGGGAAAGAGGGGAGAAAGAGAGAGAGAGAGAGAGAGAGAGAGAGAGAGAGAGAGAGAGAGAGAGAGAGAGAGAGAGAGAGAGAGAGAGAGAGAGAGAGAGAGAGTTGCGAGGAGCCCGAGGTGTTCGCCTCCAGTAGGGGGGGGGAGAGGCGTCTTTGAAGAGCTTGACACCCGCGGAGAGGGACAAGTCTAGGATCTCCGACGCCAAGGAATGGGGCGCTATGATGGGCGCCGGAGCTGTAGAAGTGACCCCGCCTTCGCAGGCGGAAGCTGCGCGGCGGGCCCATTCCGACAGGACCAGCTCCAGCCGGATGGTCCGTCGCTGGAAGCCTGCGGAAGGGACTTTCCCGGGGCCCGACGCCAAATCGCGGCGGCGTGCCCGCGGCCGCCGCGATCGCGATTCCGGGGCCCTGGCCGGCTATGCCCCGACCCCCCAGACGTCCAGCATTATGATGTTTTTGTAAGTTGTTATGAACCTGGGTTTGTTTGCGGACATCGCTGACGCCAAAACGCCCCGTGCCAGTCGGATCCCATGTCCAGGCCCCAGGGTCAGATAGGGGATTCACCTGCCACCAGTCTCACTTATCCTATTAAAGGTCAACGTCTACGGTTTAGACGACGCCCCAATGGCCTGGCGGAAGACCGTGGCCACCATCCTCGAGCGTCTCGGTTTCTCCCTGTCTATACTTGAACCCTGTTGGTGGATTAGATGCGGGCCCGACGGGAGCATCAAGAATATGATGTTGCTCGAAGTCGACGACTTCTTCATAAGGAGTGCCTCGCCAGACGACCAGAAGTGGCTTCGAGAGCATATGGAATCGAGATTCCGTTGTGGGAAGAACCGAGACTGCGGGGCTGGGTCCGTCGATTTTGCCGGGAGACGCATCGCCGTCGGGCCCGGGGGGGCCGCCGTGGACATGGAAACATGCATCCTGAAGAAGTGCATTCCTTGTCTGTGGCTCGTGGACGACTCTCCCGCAAGGAGGCCCTTCTTGAGCCAGCAGAGTTTAAGGCGCCCCGTTCGCTCGTGTATAAATTTAATTGGCTCGGGCGAGAAGTCTGCCCTGAAGCTGCAGGCGTAGCTAGCACTCTGGCCAGCCGTCTAAAGTCAGCCACGACGAGAGACATCACTATGGCCAACAAGCTGGTCAGGCACCTCCGGTGCACCGCGCCCAGAGGCATCGTCGCCTGGAAGCTAGATCCCGACAAGATGGCGCGTGTGTCCTTCTCTGATGCAGGAGGTGCAGGCGCGGTCGACGGTATGTCCGACGAGCGAGGACTCCCCGAGGATCCAACCCAGGGTGCCTGGATGGTGTCGGCGTGTGACCAGGCCGCGTTGGACAACCAAGCAGTGAAGGCGTCCATCCTCGCATGGAGGAGCTCCCAGCTTCGGCGGAAGGTCCTTTCGACCCTGGCGGGAAAGACCCAGGCTCTTTCAGCGGCGGTGGCGGAAGTAGAATACCTTCAGATCTTGTGTCGAGACGTGGTGTTTGGCGACGTGAGCGTTCGTGACCACCGCCGGAAGTCCGGACCCTTCACTACTGTGCTGCGCCGTGACTGTCAACCCGGATCCCGAGACAGACAAGTGCACGTAGCGGACGCAAAGTCCATCTACGACACCATGATGAAGGAAGGCAATGCCAGTGCTAAGGACCAGAGAACCGCTACAGACTTGGCAATTATTGGTAAAACTTTTGGACAGGCCAAAGGCAGGGTTCGGTGGATCCCGCACGGCAGAATGCCAGTCGACCCATTTACTAAGGATGACGTTACTAAGTGCAACGCAGCATTGTTCGACCTCATGACCAGCGGGAGATTAGTACTTATAGATGAGAGTTCTGAAGTAGAGCGGAGACGAAAAGATCCATGACTCAAGAATCGTTCCCGGGCTGCTTCCAGGAAGGTCCTGAATCAGACGAACATGATATCCTGGAGCGAGTTCCTCACGGTTCCTCCCGAGGACTGTTGTGACGGTGGTGGTGGTGGTGGTGGTTTACCCTCCTTCCTTTCTTTCTCCCTCTCCTTTCCTTGCCTCTCAGCTCCGGTGTTGCACACCGCGGGGGTGTTTCAATAAGCCGTTGCTGGGTGTTTCCAGGGCCACACTCGTGTGAGCACGCGTGTATTGATTTAGCTACCAGTTTGTGTCCACACGGGATCCCTAAACTTGCCAGAAAGTTTAGGGCATGTGGAAGCGTGCCTGATTGCACCCTCAGGTTTAGTATGTGGAAACCGTTTCCTTGCTTCCGATAGTTTTGGCATTGTCGTGTACTGTAGCAGACATAGAATGCCATGTCTGTACTGTTGTTCGCACGTTCGCTCAAGTCCAAAATGCCATCGTCTGCCACTGCTGTTACCACATGGAGAGTTTATATGCCACCGTGTAGGGGCATATCAACTCTGCAGCCGCACGGGGGCCCAAGATCCCTTCGCGTGGTGAAACAAGATCACGACGGCAAGCTCGTCGCCGTTTTTTCCGCCATCGTCGGCCCTTGCCAGGCCCCAGGACCGTCAACGAAACGATTCCGGATGAAAAACCAGTCCAGGTAAGCGGTCCAGGGTCGACGTTGTGATTAAGGTCTCCTGGATCGGGTCTGAATAGATGGGGTCGGAGGATCGCGCCGCATCAACGATGCATCGGCGATGCGGCTCTTCACGCCGACGGCGCCGATGCATCGCCGACGTCGCCGGTGTATCGCCGGTGCGATCCTCCGACCCCATCAACTCGGACCCCATCTGGGAGGCCTCTAGGGAAGGGGTCCAGGGTCGACGTTGCGAAAAGTCGCGACGTCGGGGGTCACAGGGGGGAGGCGTCCCCGACGGCAGAAGAGTTTCTTCTTTACACCGCCCTCCGCCCCCCGACCCATACCCCTCCGCCAGACAACGGACAGCGTCCTGGAGCGTGGCCACTACAGCTCGGGGGTTGCTACAGGTGCACCTGGCCCAGGGTGCCCCCAGCTTTGCGCTCAATCTTGGGAGCCCCCTGGGGGCCTCCGATGGGCCTCGCGAGGGGTGCTCTGAAGGCCGTGGGGGCCTCTCTGGACATCCTGGGGGCACTTCGGCCCGGGGGCACTTCTAGCAGCACCCGAACAGCGGGAGCCTCCGGCGCGACCTCGAGAGCACGATCGCCGCGGCGCTGGCCAGCCGCAACCGCCTCGGCCTGGCGCCGCCGATCGGCTTGCGGCCCGGGCTCCAGGCGCTTCGGCCGGCCGCGGCCAGCACCAAGACCTCGGTGCAGCAGGAGGCCCACTTCGACGACGACGACGACGACGCCGATGACGACGACGACGACGCCGCCGACGACGACGACGACGGCGACGACCAAGGCCTCGGTGCAGCAGGAGGCCCACTTCGCGCCGGAGGCCACCTGGGACCGCGGCCTCAGCGCCAGCTCCACGGAATGTTGGTCTGCCGCGGACCAGGCGGCGTCCGCCCGGCAGATCTCCGCCGGCGCGGCCTCCGCCGCCGCCACTACCGCGTCGGGCGCCAGCAGCTGGCAGGATGCGGGGCCGACGCAGGACGGGAAGGGCGTTACCCAGGACGTCCTGGAGGAGCGCACAGAGGAGGAGGACTTGCGGAGGCAGATCGAGGCGGCCTCCTGGCTGGGCCAGAGCCAGGCGCCGCCCTCCGTGCGGTCCCTGCCGAGCGACGCCGCGCTCGAAGAAAAGCTCCCGACGCACCACCTGCAGCTCGGTGGCGGCGACGGGGCCCACGAGGACCTCCAGCAGGCCAAGGGCAGTGGCGGCCTGGGCGGGCTCACCACGGCCATGGTGCGGAACTTACCGGCGAAGTGCACGCAGCGGAAGTTTGTAAGCGCGATCAATTTTGTTGGCTTGGCGGGCACCTATGACTTTGCCTACGTGCCTATGGACTCCCGACGCCACTCCAACCGCGGCGTTGGCTTCGTCAACTTCACGACCCCGGAGGCGGCCAGCAGGTTCCACCATCTGTTCCACGGCAAGCTGCTGCCACCCGGTGGCGGCCCCGGGGGCGGAAGCAAGGAGCCGCGGGTGCCGCTTGTAGTGCTGCCGGCGGACATGCAGGGCTTCGAGGCGAACGCCGCACACCACTTCTCCGTGCGAAGGGAAAAGAACGCGGACGCCCAGCCGCTCTTCCTGCGCCCCCTCCCGCTGCACCTCGCGGCCGTGGCCGCGGAAGAGCAGCAGGCGGCGCCGCAGCAGCCGTTGCAGGCGGTGCCCGCACGGCGGCGGCAGCCGCCCAGGCAGCCGCCCCCCGACTGGCCCGCGCCGCGCCGGGAGCGGCCGGCCGCAGCACGGGTGTTGCTACAGGTGCCCCGTGGCCCAGGGTGCCCCCAGTTTTGCGCTCAGTTCTGGAGGCCCCTCTGGGGGCCTCCGATGGGCCCCTCGCGATTGCTCTGGAGGCCGTGGGGGCCTCTCTGGACATCCTGGGGGCACCTCGGGCCGGGGACGCTTCTAGCAGCACCCGACCAGCACAGGCTGCGGGCGCGGCAGACTGGCTGGCCGCGGCGGTCTGCGCGGTGCCGGCGCAGCAGCGGTCGCCGCCGAGGCCGCCGGCCGCGCCGCAGGGCCGCGGCGGCGCGTCCCCGCCGGCGGGCGGGGCGGAGGCGGCTCCGCGCAGGGCCAAGTTTTGCTCGGAGTGCGGGCGCAGGCGCCTCGAGGAGCATGCCTTCTGCCCCTACTGCGGGACCAGCTTCTAAGCAAGCAGTGCTTGCTGACAGGCCCACCGGTTGGATGTTTTGGGAACCCCTTTTGTGGTCTGCACGAGGTCTTCTTGGAACATTTCTGGCTGAGACTGTCTTGTTTTAACGTATCGGGTTCATGCACTAAGAACATTGTGCTAGTTCTGAGAACATTTGGGGTTCCAAGAACATGTCGTGGTAGGCCTATAGGAATGCCAGGACAGTCGGTCCCTGCTCAATCTAAGGGCGGCAGGCCCCAGGGTGCGCTGCGCCCTACCACGCCTGCAGGCGGCAGCGCGCGCCCGCCAGCTCATCGCTCCGTAGGCGAGCGCAGGAGTCGCGATCTTTGAATCGGGAGGTTGGCTGAGGATCTTAGCACTTCGCATGCAGGTGGAGGCACTGGAGGAAGCTCCAAACTCAAGCATCGTGAGCAGGGTGTCCTTGGCGTTGCATTTATGAGGCTGTGTGGACGGCCGATGAGCATGCCATTCCTTGGGCATTTTTTGAAAGGACAGCCTTTGTAGCCTGCCTGCCCACCAGGAAGTTCGGCCCCGCCAAGATCACGCAGAAGTCAAAATATACAGGTGTCGGTAACAATTAAACAGCATTCATGCAGAACATATGGTTGAAACTCCCACCCCCTCCCCGCCAAATGCAATGGTTGTTTCGGATCTTTCGATTTTGGGCCTCCGAGTGGTCTTGAAGTAACGTGCCAACCTTGAAATGTTGATTCATATATTCCCTCAACCGTATTGTTGTCGAGTCTGTACGGTGGGTTTGTGCGCACCCCTGGTGGACAGGGGCCTGACGCAATTTTTCCTGCCTGCAGGCGATGATGTCTCTGAGCAGACGCTTGGCAGCCTTTTCCCGTCGCCCTGCTGAGGATGTGATAGGGAGGCGTGCGCGAGTTTGGATTCTTTACGCAGTGCATGCTTTTGGGGGATAGGTCCAAACTGATGGAATTCGAAGAAGAACAAAACGCCATAGACATAAGCTTTTGGTGCCCCGCGTGGATTTCTTGGATCTGCGCTGGACCCCAAAGTTTATCTTTATGCAGTTCTTCTTCTAGGAATGGGGGAGGGAGGGAGGGACGAGGAGGCGATAGAAGGAGGCAGTTCGTGATTCCCCACTGCATGTTTCAGTCGTGTGGCGAATGCCTTCGCCTGTCCGACGAATAAAGAACGGTCGCGTAACCTGAATCTTCTCGGGACCTTTCTATGCCTCCAGCGTTTTCAAGGAAGCTTCCAGGATTTTGCGATAGCGCCCCCAGCTTGTTTCCATGCTCACAGCCGTTGCGAAGGTCCTCTCAGGGGCGGAGGCACCACAGTTGGTGCAGGTCTTTGTGGGCACGGGCCGGGGGCCTGCAATTGGAAGTTCGCTGGAGGGCACCGTTTTTGGGCTGCAGGGCGCGAGTGCGTTCTGCGGCTCTATCAGAGAGAGGGGGCCGAGCGGTCACTCGCTGTCTCTGGGTGCGTGGCTGAAGTGGGACTCCGCGGCGCGGATTCTGATTGGTGATGTTGTTATTGATGATGTCATTCGCACTATCATCATTACTGCTATTATCATTCTTGCTCGTATTCTTCTTATTCTTTCTAATAGCATTACTGTTATTGATATCGTTGTTGTTTAATTCTCAGTTCAGAAGAGTAATTATTGTTGATAGGTGTTTTTCAATTCAAGTTCCCCTCCTGGGACTCGCACCCTTTTTTCATCAGGGGAAGTCTTCCTCCTCAAATTGTGCCCCTGGCCCTTAGTTTACAATAACAGCGGCTCCCGCCTGATACTTCCTCACAGTGTATTCCCAAATCGCGCTCTCGCGCGGGACTTCCTCACAATGTACGTACGAATCGCGCTCTCGCGTGGGACTTCCCCGCGGTTTATTCAGACGCGGCGCCCTGGGTGCTCAGGAATCACGCTCTCGCGGTGGCTGTTCTCACGATTTATTTGGGAATCGCACTATCGCTCGAGACTTCCTCGTCATTCATGCAGGACCCACGCTTCAACAACCCGCCTGCTCGACCTGGTCGCCTGGGCCTGCCTTCCCGACCTGCCCGCGATGGGTCTGCCCACCCGATCTGCCCGTCTGGTTCTACCACTTGTTCTCTGCGCCCTGCCCACCTCCTGCTGATTTCTCTCGTGCTCCATTATTCCACCTCCCCATTCCACCCGTCCTCTCTTCCCTTGTTTTAGGGGCTGCACTACATGCACGGGGCAGGTAGGGAAGATATACCTCCAAGGGGGTACGATCGAAGACGACGAGGGCGGGCATCGAGGGTTCTGGATAGACGTATTGATAGGCACGTGAGCAGATGGGTCACTACTGAAGAATAAGTATTGTTGATCCCCCTCCTCCGGTGCACACTGTTTTTTCAATTGAAGTGCCCCTCCCGGCGCTCGCACCCGGTTTTTTATCAGGGAAAGTCTTCGTCCTCAAACTGCGTTGTTGGCCCCTGGGTTACAACAACAGCTCCCGCCTGAGGCGTCCTCACAATTTAGCCAGGACCCCGGCTCCCGCTTGAGACTTCCTCGCATTGTATTCAGGAATCGCGCTCTCGCTTGGGACTTCCTTGCAATTTATTCAGGACTCGCTCTCTCGGCGCTCTGGAGTCGCGCTCTTGCTGGAGACTTGCTTGCAATTTACTCAAGAATAGCGCCCTTGCCTTGGAGTTTCACGCAATTTACTCAAGCGCCGTGCTCCCGACACTCAGGCACCCAGGAATCGCGCTCACGCCTAGGACTCCCTCACAGATTATTGAGGAATCGGGATCTCGCTGCCCTTCGTGGCCCCGTTGCAGCCCTTCGTGGCCCCCTCGCCCTCGCTGCCAGTCGTGGCCCCGTTGCAGCCCCTCGTGGCCCCCTCGCTGCCCTTCGTGGCCCCGTTGCAGCCCTTCGTGGCCCCCTCGCTGCCAGTCGTGGCCCCATCTATGTATGCCCTTCGTGGCCCCCGCTCTTTTGCGCCCGTCGTGGCCCCATATTCATGCCCTTCGTGGCCCCTCGCTGCCTTTCGTGGCCCCCTCGCTGCCAGTCGTGGCCCCGTTGCTGCCCTCAGTGGTCCCGTCCTTGCCCTCTGCGGCCCAATATACGCATGCCCTTAGTGGCCCCCGCTCGTTCGCGCCCGTCGTGGCCCCATGTGCATGCCCTTCGTGGCCCCGCTGTCGCCCTTTGTGGCCCCCTCGCTGTCCTACGTGGCCCAGTTGCTACCCTCAGTGGCCCCGTCGTTGCCTTCTGTGGCCCCGTATTATCTGCCCTTCGTGGCCCCCGCTCGTTCGCGCTCTTCGTGGCCCCATACGCATGCCCTTCGTGTCCCCGCTGTCGCCCTTCGTGGCCTACTTCGTGCCCTTCGTCGCCGTCGTCGTCGTCGTCGTCGCCGTCGTCGTCGTCGTCGACCTTGTCGTCGTCGTCGTCGTCGTCGTCTTGGTCGGTCTTCTGTCCGTCCCTCTTGGGGTCGGGTTGCCGCCGATCAGCGCTGCAGCTGGCCAGGCCGACGGTCCGCGGCCGCCCCGCCGCCTGCCGGGGCCTGGCCTGCGTGGAAGAAAGGTATACCCCCCAAAAGGGATACGATCGAAGACGAAGAGGGGGGGTATCGAGGATTTGGGAAATACGCGTTCACGGACACTCGAGCAGATAAGAGCGAACAGTCTTAAGATTATTGGTGTTGGTGTTGCTGTTGGACTCCCATTACTGAAGAGCCATTATTGTTGATCCCCCCACTCCCGTAACCAATGTGTTTGTTTCAGGTGAACCGAGCATTTTCTGTGGGTGGAGGGCAACGAGTGAAATTTCAAATGCCGCTCCAATTTATTTTCGAGGGTTGAATCTGCTAAATGTGAATCACAAGACGGTTTTATTTTCGAGGTGCAAAAGACCATATGGATCTCACCATGAGCCCTCCACCCGAAGAACATACTCAGTTGAAGTGCTCCCCCCAGAGCTCGCATTTGTTAGAAATCACGGAAAGCCACTCGGCTCAAACTGCGTTGTTGGCCCCCGGATTACAACAACAACAACAACGGCTCACGCTTGAAACTCCCCACAATTTAGCCAGGACCCCCGCTCCCGCCTGAGACTTCCTCGCATTTGACTTAGGAATCGCGCTCTCGCTGGGGACTTTCTTGTATTTGTTTCTGGAATCGTTTTCTCGGCGTTCTGGAGTCGCGATCTCGCTGAACACCTGCTTGCAATTTACTCAAGCATCGCGCTCTTGCGTTGGAGCTCGCAGCAATTTAATTCAGCGCCGCGCTCCCGACATTCAGACATCCATGAGTCGCGCTCACGCTTAGGACTCCTTCGCAGCTTGCTTAGGAATCGGGATCTCGCTGCCCTTCGTGGCCCCGTTGCAGCCCTTCGTGGCCCCCTCGCTGTCCTTGGGGGCCCGTTGCAGGCCTTCGTGGCCCCCTCGCCCCCTCGCTGCCCTTCGTGGGCCCGTTGAAACCCTTCGTGGCCCCCTCGCTGCCCTTCGTGGCCCCGTGGCAGCCCTTCGTGGCCCCCTCGCTGCCAGGTCGTGGCCCCGTTGCAGCCCTTCGTGGCCCCCTCGCTGCCAGTCGTGGCCCCGTTGCTGCCCTCAGTGGTCCCGTCCTTGCCCTCTGCGGCCCAATATACGCATGCCCTTCGTGGCACCCGCTCGTTCGCGCCCGTCGTGATCCCATATGCATGCCCTTTGTGGCCCCGCTGTTGCACTTTGTGGCCCCCACGCTGCCTTTCGTGGCCCCGTTGCTACTCTCAGTAGCCCCGTCGCTGCCCTCTGTGACCCCGCATTGTCTGCCCTTCGTGGCCCCCGCTCGTTCGCGCCCTTCGCGGCCCCATACGCATGCCCTTCGTGGCCTCACTGTTGCCCTTCGTGGCCCCCTCGCTGCCCTTCGTGGCCCCATCACTGCCCTTCGTGGCCCCGCTGTCGCTCTCGCTCTCGCTCTCGCTCGCGCTTTCGCTCGTCGCTGTCGTCGTCGCCGTCGTCGTTGTCGTGGTCGGTCGCCTGTCCGTCCCTCTTAGGGTTGGGTTGCCGCCGATCAGCGCTGCCGCTGGCCAGGCCGACGGTCCGCGGCCGCCCCGCCGCCTGCCGGGGCCCGGCCTGCGTGGAAGAACGATATACCCCCTCAGAATGGGTACGATCGAAGACGAAGAGGGCAGGTATCGAGGGTCTGGCAAATACACCTTGAATGACAGTCGAGCAGAAAACAGCGAACAGTCTTAAGATGATGGTTGTTGATGCTGCTGCTTCGGTTGCTGAATATTCGCTTCTAAAGAATAGTTATTGTAGATCATCCTTCTTGTAAGCATCGTGCTGTTAAGTTAAAGTGCTTCTCGTGGGGCTCGCACCCTTCTTTCCTCAAGGGAACGCGAGGTGTCACCAAACTGCGTTGTTGGCCCCCGAACTAAAATAATCACAATGGGTCCCGCCTGATATTTCCTCACAGTGTATTCCCAAATCGCGCTCTCGCGCGGGACGTCTTCATAATGTATGCAGGAATCGCGCTGTCGCGTGGGACTTCCTCGCCATGTATTCGAAAGCCGCGTCCTCGACACTCAGGAATCACGCCCTCGCTTCGGATTCCCTCACGATTTACTTGCG